TACACGCAAATATGGCGCTCTCAAATATATGAAGCGGTATGTCCGAAACCTGTTGTTCGAAATTGTTTCTTTGCCTTCAAAATTTCAAAGTTTCCTATACCTTCTTTTCCTTTACATTCGTCCAGCATTGTTGAGCTTGGAGTTTTGCAGATTTCCGACCTCCATGATATCATCGGGATTGAGCGCGCGTGATAGCAACTTGTTATATGGTCAACCAACAAGATCCTGCATGATCCTAACAACATGTTGCCGCTTAGTTGGCAGAGCATTGGACTGGTATCCCAAAGGTCGCGAGTTCGATTCCCACCGTAGTCACGCAACACCTTTCAGTCTGCCCGGTGCATGTGGGTACATATGCATGCACTCAGAGTAACATAAGAAACATTATATTCACCTGAGTATAGTACATAACACACACATGTGCACACAAAAGAAAATCTGGTTTAAGCTTAAAAATAGCCAAATTCTCAGTGTCGGACAATTAAAGCATACATTTAATCTTTCAGCAAATTAATCAGTGAATACATTTAATGAAAACTGACATAAGTTCATCAACTATACCAAGTAATGCTGAAAATCAGTTGCTAGTTGTACTATAAAAAGGAAAATCCAATTACTAGCTCAAACAAATCAATATATACAAACTTCGGATATAAAATAGTCATAAATAATTATGTAGAATTCCAGCTCTCCATCATGATGGTAACAGACATGTATAGTTAATGATCTTAAAACATGCTTCTAGAAACTACGGTTTAGGAATTTGTTTTCTGTTAAACAGACGTCGACCGAGCATTAAGTTTCCACAAACATTTTTTTATAGGAAGAACAGAAAATAAATTGAAAGAGATACCAGATTATCTTCATTCAGAAAACACAAGGGAAAATAGGTGACATTTTAATATGAATTGGATTTTATAGAATGCGCGACGGTTATAATGAATTGAAATTTAAAGAAAAAAGAATTTGAAATTAATTCTAAAACTGTGAATAATAACCATATGGTTTCTTGATAATAAATGGTTAAAGCTAATGTTTCCAAGAACAGTTAGGATTTAGCAGTTAGGATTTGACTAAATCGGTAAATTAACTAAGTCAAATATTCATTCCATATGATAAGAGCTGGAGAAAATTCTAAAGAAAAAACAATTTTTTTGGCGGAAGAAAACATGCAGATAAACATGTATAAGGCGTGATGAAATATGAGTCGCTAAAATGAGACAGTTTAAAGTATTGTGCAAAGACTTGCGGTAGCATCATTTGTAGTTGAGCTCGACAGGAAAGTTGGTCTGTGTTTAAGATGGAGTCTAAGTTTGCAATTTTCGCGTTGTAGATCTTTATGGTTGACATGACATTGGTCAACAGTCAAACAACAGTAAGTTTCTGGCGTTATATGTAGGTATACTGCTATTTGTGTAGATTAAATGATTATTCCCACCGTGGCCGGGCATATTTTTCGAGCTCGCCCGGTGTGGATGTGCACTCGGAGTAACATCAAAACATCATACCATAAGTTGTTCTATTTTGGAACCCCGTTATTGGAGAACTATCTCTGTGTGGAAATTCCAGTCATTTGTAAACATAATACTCTATATAGATCTATTCCAATAGCAAACTTGTAAAATAAAATAAAATAAATGTATAGTAAAAGACTTAACTAATTGTATCTTCACTGCATGTATATAAATCGGTTCAAAAAATGTCATTCTTTTTTTCCCCAAAATTATTCTCAACCTGGATACTCACTGACGTCTTATAGAATACTTCCATGCCACCAGTTTTACAAAATATAAATATGACTAATACCACGTATTTTCTTTGAGTTCGAGTTGCTAGATTTACGAAAGAAGACATACTAGTTTCCTTTAAGTGCTTTAATTGTGCATATTTCCAAGGTCTATAATTTCGCTTGCATGGATTGTCCTCAATCTTATTATAACCTTTTACTCTTTTTTAAATAACAGTCTCCACAAAATTCTGTTAGCCATTTTCGAGTCAGCCAACAGCTCTTTCTGTTCTGCCGAACCTTTAATTACATTCTATAAAGCCGGTTAATTACATTCTAACGAATTTTTGCAATTTTCTTAGTCCTCTCAGGCTACCTGTGGTTCTCCAGGCATCCCAGGTATCCCTGGTGTTCCAGGAAATCCCGGAAGAGATGGCGTGCCTGGGTCACGTGGTTCTGCTGGCGTGAAAGGGGAACCAGGGGAGAAAGGAATAAAGTCAAATTGGAGACAGTGTGTTTGGAAGAGTGTGGATAGCAAAGACACTGGCCTGATAAAGGTTGCTGAAATTCAGAATTATGATATCCTTATGACTTAAAGAGCAATTTTAGTAGCTAAGTTTAAATGCTGGTTCACACTTGGCCCAATTTCCATATAAATTTTCGCCAATTTTATCACGGCGATTGATCACCGCTCAACTAATCTTTATTTTAGTCGTAGCCCTAATTTTAACCTAATTTTAATACCAACAAAAGTAGTCCAAATCCTATACTAGCCCTAACCTGACCCTGACCCAAGCCTAATAGCAAACTCTTTGATTGTTCTCTTCTCATATAGAATTGTATTTTCAACAAAAAATATGACAACACCTCACTCCGTGTGTTCTGCGAAGGAAACCTAAATTAGTTTGGTATCAGAGCTTGCAGTCGTTGGTACTTTACATTTGATGGCGCAGAATGTACAAAACCAGCGACAATTGAATGAATTTTCTACGTTAAAACAACGCACATCAACCCACATCGCCACGGCCGTATTGAAGGCTACTGTAATCAAGTTCCTAAAAGCCACATACGTGTGGGGTTCTTGATAGGCAAGTGTCAGAGTTATACTCTCGCAAATGGTTCTACTGGTTGGAATTCCATATCTCGGGTTGTTGTGGAAGAAGTGCCTTCTCCTCAAGCTTAATGTTTTTTTCTAGAAAAAGAGTATCATCCATATTATATTATATAACCAAATTATACCAATATAACTTTTGCAACAGATCTGGTAAAAATTTATATCATTATGAGTTATTAATAGTATTTTATTAGATATATTTCTGTAATATTTCATTGTGATACTGCGTTTGGCGTTCCTATAATGTACGTCTAACATGTGGATTCACATACAAAAATTCCTGGGCTGAAATTAATTTTTTCACAAGCTTTCTATACCAGGTGCATGCATGGATAACTATATATGCCAGACACCTTGGCTTTATTCCCGGTTGAGAATACTCGTCAGATCACGGTCAGAATCCACCCGCAATGTCTGAGATATTGTATAATTATATAGTCCAATGCTCTAATTAACTACTGAACTAGGAGGCCAAGTCGGTTCGAGTAGGTGATATTTCGGAACTGAGTTTATACACAAATGTATATCAAGCAAACCTTGCGTAGTTTATTTCGGATTGAGTCAACTATACTATACAAATTACTTAACAATGTTAATGAATTTCTGGCTAAAACCGCCAACTTTAAAAACTCGTGAAATAATATGTGACAAACAATGAGAATTTATATTATTACTGCAGGCACAAAGTTACACAAGTATGACAACGAAAACATAACTTTTGTTAAACCACTTCCTTTATTTGTGGTGGCAAAGAACGACATATGCCAATTTTTATCGGGAGGCACCTTTTGTGTCCACTCCCTCATGCACATAAACTAACCACTGGACACGCGTGCATGATATCCGTGTTAACAAAAACATTGACTACTTGTAAGCTGTCTTGTTGAGACAGTGTGCACATTATGAAATTGTGAAATAGCAGTCTCAAAATATATTCACTTGATAAATTATAAAGAACGGCTGGACTATAACCAATGGCCACGCATTCAACGTCTTTGTATAAAGTACTTAATTACGCCTTTCAATTTTCAAAGACTTAGAAATTGATTTGTTCTTTGTGAAAAGATTTTAACTATCAGAAAATAATGAAACTTAAGTTGGATTTCGATTCAAAAGAAAAATTTCGTTGTCGAAATTTTCCCTCAATCTCTTTTGAATTTTGAGCGGTCAAGTATATTGAAATAATTGATTCGGGTGGTCACAATTCTAATGAAATCAAGCAAAATATTTCGACGACGTGGAAATCCATCCTTAGAAATCCCAATATAATAATATATTGCATGCATGGTGCTCTCACAGGATTTTCAAGTTGGAATGGAATGCACTGTTGTCGTTGCTAGTTTCGCTTAAACACGTCCGTTTGAAGGTGCTTACATCATATGTTATTACCACTGAGAAAAACATGCTATATGCCACCACGTAGAAGTACTACATTTAAAAAATATTACTATTAGTATTATTATTGAAGCAAACAATTGTAATATAATAACGAATTTCTTTTTGAGCAGTAATTTCGCAGCTTTAACACTCATTGTTTGATGTGTTTAGTCGGGGGCGGTGCTTAAACTGCTACCAGTTTAAGCACCGCCCCCGACTAAACACTTATAACAATGAGGGTTAAAGCTGCGAAATCCTGCTCAAAAAGAAATTCGTTATTATATTACAATTGTTTGCTTCAATAATAATACTAATAGTAATATTTTTTAAATGTAGTACTTCTACGTGGTGGCATATAGCATGTTTTTCTCAGTGGTAATAACATATGATGTAAGCACCTTCAAACGGACGTGTTTAAGCGAAACTAGCAACGACAACAGTGCATTCCAATCAATATATAATCAATCTGGAAAATTATTTTTCATGTATTATAATATTTTAAAATTTCAGAGTGTATGAGTTTATTGCAATGCTCATGCTCTTCCATAATTTCTTTCATAATGGAAGTGGGCGTTTCCATTGTGAAGACAGACAACATGGTCCACAAAACAAGCCTAACATCTAAGTAATTTAATGTAGTAAGTAAACTTTGTTTTCCTTAATTTGTTTAACTTTAGTAAACTCATGATTTTTCGGTGTTGGTGTAATGTACTCAGGTGAATATGAAGCTTGTGATGTTACTCTGAGTGTATATTCGCACCGGGCAAGCTTGAAAAATATGCCTGACCACGGTGGGAATCGAACCTACGACCTTTGGAATACTAGCCCAATGCTCTACCAACTGAGCTATGCGGTCTGGTCGGTTCGAGTATGTGATATTTCGGAACAGAATCTAGTCCCTTCGATATCAATGTTATAAACTCATTAATTAGTATTAAGTAAACTCATTAGTATTAAGCCTATAGATCACACTCACAACGATACGATAACTTGTAAACACGCAATAAAAATTTTTTTTGTTGGTCTTGCAAATACCCTTCAAGGCCATTCTTAATAATTTTGAAGTCACTTTGAAGTAAAGCCTAAGAAGTGGGCGAAAATTTCGTGTCGTGTGCTCTTTAAGATTTAGACACTAAAAATTCCGAAACGCTTATTAATTGCGCAGGAGAGGATCTTAAATTAACTACAAGAAAAATAATGAGACTTCAGACTTAAAAACCCAGTAAAGTATTTGATGAGTTCAAACTGTAACTGCCCTCACAGGGTTTTCAAGTGCAGTAATCATCACAGCCCATCAAGAGGATTTTTTCTCTCACACTAGAGACCATCTACCGTATCTAGCCGTTTAAATGCCGCCCTCGACTACACATCATACTTATAACCAATGCGCAGAGCTGCAAAATAATTGCTCAAAAAGAAATTCATTACTATTACAATTGCTTGCTTTAATAATAATAGTAATAATAATGATTTTATTGGTAGTACTCCATGGGGTGCCAATAGCTGGTTAATAATTTTTAATAGATTTTTATGATTTTCTTTTTCTCCCGTGTACAGAATTAAGGATGTGAACTTTTCTGAGCTCGGTTTACTGGGCACGAAATTGAATCACACAATAGTCATTTGGAGTAAAATGGCATTTGGGGAAACCCCCAAAGCCGCTTTATTAATAATAAAATTTTTCAATAACAAGTATTTGATTTAAATTATATATAATATAGTCTTGCCCAGTAAAGGGCACAAAAACGCCAACAAAAAATTATGCATACAACAATATAGCTAAACATAAAGAAAGCAGTAAGGGAGGGATGGTGGGAAACTTCTCTTCTGTTATCGGCGAAGTCAAGCGGCAAATGAGGCCGATCTCACGTGGTAGCCTTGGTTTTATGTCGGCGTTCTACGCCAGACCGAGGCTCGCACCAATCCCCCTTGCTTCTTCCTTCACATCGGCAACTTCCGTGTGATCAACTTGGATTAAATTTTCAACCAAGAAACTCATAAAAACTCTATTTGCCTTCAAATATTTCATTGATGATTTTCTTTTTCTCCCGTGTACAGAATTAAGGATGTGAACTTTTCTGAGCTCGGTTTACTGGGCACCAAATTGAATCACGCAATAGTCATTTGGAGTAAAATGGCATTTGGGGAAACCCCCAAAGCCGCTTTATTAATTATAAAATTTTTCAATAACAAGTATTTGATTTAAATTATATATAATATAGTCTTGCCCAGTAAAGGTGAAGGGCACAAAAACGCCAAGAGCGTCATGCAAATGATGCTGCCCCACCCAAAGAAAAATACACATCCTTGTCTGATAAATATTGCAATGAACCATAAACATTAATATCAATAAACAACAAAAACACTCGTCGGCCTGCTGCTCTTGCCAATCAGTCCAACAAATGTTCGCTATGTTATATTAAACTATTAATTGAATACTATTATAATGAGACAACAAACATTGGCAAGATTGCTGCCCTTGCTAATCAGTCCAACCAATGTTCGCTATATAATTATAGTAATATTAATTTGTATAGTTAATAAACGCTATAAACAATGCTTACATAGCATTCCGTAGAGGACCAGTAAGAAACTGCTGCCCTTGCTAATCAGTTTTCCACTCATCCTTATAAATAAACAAATTCAAGAAGAAAGGGAAGGAAGTCGGATATATTTCAGAAATGCATTGGACTTCCACCTACAGAGAGCACGTATTTGAGCATCCGACATACCCTGATCTGCAGCATGAGAAGCAGCCCCTATCCGAAAACTGTGACGCTTATAAACATTAGGGCTTAAATTGCATAATTTAAGAGCTAATGCCAGTTGTTTTGCGAAATAGTTACGAGGAACAGGATTTCCATTTGACAAAACAAACAAAAAACCTCGTTGTAAACCTCTGTTGCTTAAATAAGCTAGAAGGATAGATACAGGACAAAATTGTAATTGCTTCTTAACAATAACGGAGAACGGGCGCTGGTTGTAATTGTGTTTGAAATTCAAAAAAGTGATTTTTATAGACACAACTTTGCCCGAACTATCTACCATCTTAGTCAGCTGGGTCAGATCTAAGTTTGATTGAACTCCCTTATTCTGAGTAGCTGTCATTTCACCAACCCGCAAAAATGCATGGAATGCAGTAGAGCACATTGCTCGAAAAAGTGTAATCTCATATTGTGATATAGAAAATTGATGAGTAATAGCAATTATCCTGTGAAGTAAAGGCAGTGTGATGGGCAACCTGGTGTCTAAGCGACACCCTAACTTGAGGTAACCTTTTAACATCTGCTTAATGTAAAAAACCTTAGTAGGATCTGCATAACCCGATTATTTGTGCAAATAACCTAATGCGGACACGTAGGTGTTAACTGTAGATGAAGCGTACCGTTTATTGTACAGGTGCGCGACAAACAAAGCCAACACAGCTGGTTTAATTGGAAATGATATTGAAAAAACCTGAAACAACACCCCGTGGAATTGCTCAAATAGCTTCCATGCCCTACGATAGGTTGGTCGAGAAGAAGGTTGAAGGCTAGCTAGCACTAGACTAGCTACTGTAGGGACCAATTCTCTGGCTGCAGATGGACAGGTATGACGGTTGGTGAATGGTCCATAGTTGGTGGAGCCAATTGTTGAAATCTCTGCACCTGTAAGCGAGACAGAGCATCCGCTAAATTATTCCTAACACCCGGTACATGTTTTGCCTCAAACATGATATTAAATTGTAAACAAAGCAAAACAAGTCTACGGACAAAGACCATTAAAATTTTGTCCTTGCATGACTGTTTGTTAATGACATGAACTAAAGCTTTGTTGTCAGTATAAAATATAATTGAGGGGTTACTCATATCTGCACCCCACAAATGCAAGCTCAAAACAATTGGATAAAATTCTAATATTGCAATGTTAGTGTTAACCCAATTATCAGGCCATTTCC